ATTATGTAAACCATTTGATAATCCTTTTGAATGCAGTCACAAATACATTTGAAAAAACTTATTTGGATTTATCTGACGCAAACGCTACTGTCGACCAGTAACTCGGCAGCAAAAATATGTCAAGGAAAATTTAAAATCCTATAGTACATCAGTACTAATAGTTCTCAATCGTCAGTACAAAGAAAGAGTACACATCAGTACTGATATAATTTGTGATTTGTGCCCACTGGAGCAGTCACATTATTATGTAAAACATTTGATAATCCTTTTGAATGCAGTCACAAATACAAATACATTTGTACTGACAAAAAACACTACTGTCGACCAGTCGTCAGTACAAAGGCAGAGTAAAACAAACACACCCGTGAACACCTCAAAAAAATATCGTTTTGAAAAAAACAAAGTTATGTCTGCTTCTGTCAGTCCCAATTCAGAAAGACCATCAGTACATAAAAATAATTACCTCAAACAAAAACGTGAATATAATACATTCTGTACTGATGAAAATCTAATTTATCTGTAAAAAATACTCAGAGATTATCTTGATATAAACAATCCTTTAAAAATACAAAAATTGTTTTAAAAAACATTAGCATCACACATAGTCTCATTGGTATTTGGTATGTTCAATTACACTTCAATCACCACTTCAATCACCAATCCAAGTACCACAGTAGAGGAGTACAGGCCTCCATCATCACCAACCCTGACATGTGCAAGTGGGATAAGCAGCCGATAAGTACATCTTGACAAGACGAATCAGTGCGACAGTAAAATGCCACCATCACCACCCTTGAGACATGCAAGTGGGATTTAGCAGGTCATAAGTACAGCTTGACAAGACTAGTCAGTGCAGCAGTAAAACCCATTGGACTTGGACGGTTACTTCTTCTAGGCCACCACCCGCGCCACCCATTGAGCGGTTGCCACAAGGGACTGCAAACGGCGACCCCATGCCACTACACCCACTACACCCATGCCCCGACGAACCGCCTCCCACAAATCCCCGTCGACGCACTACAAAAAAACCCCCATTATCTTCCATCTCTCCATCATCCCCACTAACAACCATTGCCCTTCCATCTCCACTGCACACAAACCACAAACTTCTCTCTCACAAGCCCACAGCCGTTGGAGGAGGGTGATGGCGGAGGAACCGTCCACCAAGCATCATCAAGATGAGCCATCGGACAAGAGCAGCAACCTCGTCGACGTTCACGTCCCCGGCGAGAAGCGCGAGTACACCAAAACCCTCAGAGAGGTTGAGCTCCATGGCAAGGAGACGCTGGAGATCATCTCCACTAGCGAACCAGACAAGGTCGACGAGATGATCTCCAGGCTCTGGAGGAAGGCTGGCGGCAGGATTCGTAAGATCATCGGTGTTGGTGTGCACTACATCAGAGAAGATGAACCTCCCCAGATGGTAGCAGTCCTGCAGTTGTGTGTCGATGAGCTATGCTTGGTGTACCACATCACAGTGGCCACAAAATGGTAAGCCACCCTACTCATTTGCCATGTTTGGTTCATCTGTTTTATTAGTACTGTATCCTAAAAATTTCATCAAACTTGTTTCCCAACTAGATGTACTAGTGTGGTTTGTGAAATGTGGATGCACTACTGCATTTTCTCAAGTAGATAAACTATAAATGTATTTTTGAACCTGATGCACCGGATTACTATTTGGAAAATCTTGCGGAAGATTAATTTCTGAAGTTGATCGACTAGTCTAGTTTCTGAACTTGATACAATAGTGTAGTTTATGTACTCGATGTATTAAAAAGATGTTTCTGAACTTGATGTAGTGAAGTATTTTCTGAATTTGATATAATGTTATTTTCAAAATAAAGTAAACTAAGAACTTGGTGAAGCACTGTTTATGTGTTATCCTATTCAACAAAAGTAAACTAAACTAGTACCAAAGCAGAACATACAACATTGACTGAAACCATGTATAATCCAAAAAGAAGAATGACATGATGTACTTAATTTAATTTCAGAACTTTGTTTACTAGCTTTTGAAGTACATTCATCCATTATTTATGCTACATAAACATCTACTTCATAGATTCATCGCTTGTAAAACAAAACAAAAATGAATAATTCAAACATCAAAGTAATTTTAAATTTCAAAAATGTCTCTCCCCTTGCAGGCCCAAGCGCCTAAACGAGTTGCTACAGCATAAGACGTTGTTCACATTTGCCGATTTCAGCATTGAAAGCGACAAAGAGAAGCTGCAGTTGTCCGGTTTGGAGATCAACCCCGACAAGTTCATCGACATTCAGCGCAAGTGGAGAGTTCCATACACCGGAAAAGAGTACGACTCCTTGACTGATGTTGCAGCCAGGGTCATCCAACCATTCTACAAAGGCATGAAGAAGAACATCAACACACAGGAAGACTACAAACTGTGGGGGACCAGCCCACTGCCAGATAACCTCATCGAGTATGTAGGAGTAGATGCATACGCCACATACAAGGCATGAAGCATGATCGACTACATCGCAGATGGTTCGGAATTTGCAAAAGAGCGGGAGGCTGCAAAATTCTATGACCACCCCTATTACCCCTTTTAGGGATGAAGATACATCAGAGCCTGCCTTCATTTTACTTTGCTTGTGCTTGCCTTTTATCTTGTTGTTTCAAATTAGTAGTTTGCTCTTGTTGGGTTGAACCAGTATGATTATGTCGTGCTTGTCATGGTTGAACTAGTTTATTTATGTCATCAAGTACAATGTTTTGCTTATCTCATTATATAAGTTTGGTAGCTTCGTATGTTGTTAATCCATCATTTCAAATTCAAAAGTAGCTTCTGAATAGAACTTTGTGGCTGCTCTAAAGTACTAGTTATGATGCAACTAACCACACAACGTTATTCCATGTCTAGTTTCGATTCAGTATTGTATAGAAAACATAACGTTGAGAACAATCAGCACAATTTGAGTTGCTTAACAATGCTTCAAAACTTGAAGAAAAAATTCTTAGTACTTCATGTAGTGTTCTCATTCATATGTAGCTGCTAGATAATTAACAAGTACTACAAACAGAAAAAGTTAAGAAGCATCAGCACACACTTATGTTGGTCGCTTGCAGATTAAGAATCACAGTACTAGTACACTTGATCGGACAATACGTACTTACTACAATAAAAAGTACATAGAAGCATCAGTCCGTAAGAGCTACTATGAATGGACTATCAGTACAACTTAGTCTACACGCAAGTACATCTTAAAATTACACTTACACAAAACTGACAAGAACTAGAACAAAAAGTTTCAGTCCAAGTTACTGCCGAAGGTCAGTCGCAGGCCCTGACGCTGCTAGATACTTGAACTCGAGCCCATAGGCGAATCCCTAGTAATCCGCACAATGCAGGGCCCACCGATCAGGGCCCACAGATCAAGAGAGAAAGCGAGCGCCGTGTATAAGTGCATAGGTAACTATTCAGAGGAGTTCGACCAGTGAGCCTCGACTGCACTTATAAACAGGTTCGGAGCCCCCTCGACTAGCGAGGTGGCACTAAACCCAGAGCGCATGTGCACGCCGCACTGCACAGCCACACAGACGAGCTATCTGGGCCGGAAAACTTCCCAATAGCCTACATCGTTTACAAACACCACACCAAATAAGCCCAGTTAAACAAACCAGAGGACGAGGCAAAGAAATATAACCTACAAGAAAAATGTTCGAAACTGAAAATATATAAATTCAAATACTAGTTCACAGGAAATAACTTTGAATACGAAAAATAAAAATAAAAATAATTTTAGCTCTGCACCACGGATGATAAAAAGGGATAAAATATGATACAAAAACAATGAACCTCTAAAAAGAATAGAACTTAATAGCCTATCTGTTAAATGTACATAATTTAAAAAACCGAATTAAATATTACTTTCATGTTCAACTACTAAAATGCAAAAAGTTCAAACATATAATGTTTGTCAATTATGCTAAATCTCTTATTACATAAAATCTAACAAGTTCAACTACTAAAATGCAAAAAGTTCAAACATATAATGTTTTATGCTAAATTTATTATTTACATAAAATCTGACAAGTTTAACTACTAAAATGCAAAAAGTTCAAAATAGAATTTATTTGTCAATTATGCTAAATTTCTTATTTATATAAAATCTCACAAGTTCAACTACTAAAATAAAAGAAGTTCAAATAGAATTTATTTGTCAATTCTGCTAAATTTCTAATTTATATAAAATCTGTACACACCTCAACGAACGATCTGGTCATAAAATAATCTCAATCCCACAAACCACCAAAAAAACAAAAAAAAACTCAGTTCAAACATACATATGACATTAGTACTAAAAAAGCAGGATCAGTAAGGCCACTCACACCACTACGACACCAAATTTCAAAACTACACGCTATATGAAATTACATTTCAGTTCACACAGCACTAAACCATAAGTGGACTAAAATGAGAATACAAAAACTATAAAGGCCTAACTTAGGTAAGTACAGATGAAAATAAAATAAGTACCAATTTTGAGCAACAACTCCCAGGGCACTGAAAAATGTCTTCAGATAAACTAGTCTATAAGACTTTAGTGGAAAAACAAATACTTAACATCCTCAGGGAAAAACATCACAAAGCATACGTCACCTAAATAGTCCAAAATGCCGTCATCAACACCCTTAAGACGTGCAAGTGGGATTTAGCAGGTCATAAGTACAGCTTGACAAGACAAGTCAGTGCAGCAGTAAAACCATTTGAATTGGATGGTTGCTTCTTCCAGGCCACCACCCGCGCCACCCACTGAGCGGTTGCCACAAGGGACTGCAAACGGGCACCCCCACGACCACCACACCCACGCCCCTGACGAACCGCCTCCCACACATCCCCGTCGACGCACTGCAAAATACCCCATCGTCTTCCATCTCTGCCTCATTCCCAGAAACCACCATTGCCGCTTCAATCTCCACTGCACACAAACCACAAACTTCTCTCTCCCAAGCCCACAATCGTCGCAGGAAGGCGATGGCGGAGGAACCATCCGCCAAGCGTCATCATGGACAGCCGTCGGATAAGAGCAGCGACCTTGTCGACGTTCACATCCCCGGCGAGAAGCACGAGTACACGAGAACCCTCACAGGGGTTGAGCTCCATGGCAAAGAGACACTAGAGATCGTCTGTACCAGCGAACCAGACAAGGCCGACGAGGTGATGAGCAGGCTCAGGATGAAGAGCGGCGGCTTGTATCCGAGCTTCATCGGAGTTGATGTGGAGTTCACCAGCGATGAGAAACCTCCACAGATGGCGGCAGTCCTGCAGTTGTGCGTCGAGGAACTCTGCTTGGTTTACCACATCGCAGCTACTGTTCATTCATCTGTTGTACTAGTACTACTCACTAAAAACTTCATTAAACTAGTTTCCCAACTAGATGAACTACTATACTTTGTGAAGTGTATGCACGAGTACATGTTTCTCAACTTACATGCAATTCTGAAACTGTGAAGTGGATTGTTTCACCAGATTAGCATCTAAAAAATGTTTATAGAATTCTGAACTTGATGCACCAAATTAATTTCTGAACTTGATGTGCTAGCATAGATTTTGATCTTGATGCACTAGTATAGTTTATAGAATTGATGTATTAAAAGATGTTTGGTGAAGTGCTATAGGTCCATATCTTGATGCACATGTTTCTCAAATTAATTTCTGAACTTGATATAGAATTGATGCAGAAAGATGTATCAAGCACTGGTATAGGTCTTTTATTCAACCAAAAAGAAAACTAAACTTGAACCAAGCAACACATATATCATTGAATCTGTTAAAATGATTCCTGAATTTGGTGAAGCATTTGGTGAAGCACTGAAGATAGCAAAAAAGAAAAATAACATGGTGTAGTTGAATTTAATTTCAGGACTTTGTGTACTAGTTTCTGGACAACATTCATCTGTGACTTATACTATATTAGCATCTACCTCATGGATTATCACTCTCAAAACCAAAAAACAGAAGAATTAAATCTTCAAAAAAGAACACTAACCTTCAATGTGTGTCTCCCCCCTTGCAGGCCCAAGCGCCTCAAACAGTTCCTGCAGGAGGAGAAATTGTACACATTTGTCGGTTTCAACATTGGAGGTGACAAGCGGATGCTGAACAAGTCTGGTTTGGAGATCAACCCCAACAACTTCATCGACATGCGGCGTAAGTGGAAAGATCCACACACCAGCAAATACTTCGACTCCTTGGCCGATGTTGCAGGCGGCGTCATCCATGAATCCTACAAAGGCATGAAGAAGAAGATGGACAAGGGATAACACCAACTGTGGGGGACCAGCCCGCTGCCAGACAACCTCATCACGTACGCAGGAATAGATGCGTACGCCACATACAAGTCATGGAAGACAATCGACAACATCGTGACATGTTGGGATATTTGAAAAGAGCAAGAGGCTGACCCCTACTACCACTACAACTTCGCGGGATGAAGATGCATGAAAGTTTGCATTCGTGTTGCTCACACTTCTGCCTGTCCTTAATGTTGTTGTTCCAGATTTGTAGTTTGCTTTCGTTATGTTGAACCAGCTACCTTATGTTATGTCTGTCAGGGTTTGAACAAGTTTGCCTATGTTTATCATGTACATCGTTAGCTTATGTCAGTCAACAAGTTTGCTAGCTTCCTATTTTTGTTCATCCATCATTTGAAGTTGAAGTAGGTTGAAGTTGAAACTAGTCATGCAGAAACAAAAATCATACATGGATATTTTCACAAAAAACAAAAACAGTGGCAGACTAACTAAGGACAATAGCAAAATAGTAGAATTGGACGCTGAGTACAGCTTAGACATATACGGTAGTACTATCACACTAAGAAATCAGTTTTTAGTTGCAGAAGAACACTAAAAAGACTAAGTTTCAGCCGTTGACTACTAACAACATCGTGCTAATAGTAGTTAGAAATTTACTGAGTACTGCAACAGGAAAAGCAAAGAACAATCAGTACATATTTCCAAGCCACTAGCATGCTAGGACTGAGAGTTCTGGTACACTTGAACAAACGGTACATTCATTCTACAAAATATAAAAAGGAACAGGAAGCTTCAGTTCACATTCCATAAAACATTGACACACTCAAGAATAACACTAATAGTACAATTGAAATGTCAGTACAACTTAGTCTGTAAGGCAAGTACTATGATCATACAAAACATTGCCTTGAGAAGAACCACAGCCTAGAAAATAGGTCCCCCCCTGGGGACATATTTAAATGTAGCTAATTTAAACCAGTCTTTAAATTTTACTATGAAGTTCAACTACTACAATTCAAGAAGTTCAAACAAAAATTCGGCTCTCAAATCTTGCTAAATTTCTTATACTTGAATAAAATCTGGCTAGAGATGACGTAACAACTTGGTCATAAATAATTTCAATCACAAAAAAAACTTCAGTTCTATTACATTATATGAAATTAGTTCTACATAACAAGGAAGCATCACTCCACTCACGCTAGATCCACAAGTGCCATCGTGACACCAAATTTTAAAAGCCTTACGTTGAACGACATTACAATTCAGTACTAACATAACTATATTATAAGTACAAGAAAAGAGGGTATAGAAACTATAAAGGTCCAACCTAGGTTGGGACAGATGAAAATAAATGATAAATCTCACTTTTCCGGCAACAACTCGTAAGGAACTTGGGAAAACATGTTTTTAGTTCAACTAGTTTACAAGACTTCAGTACAAAAAACAGAACTTAACCAGAACGAATTCCCAATGAAACATACACAAGTGATATATCACACAAATATCAAAAATCAAAGACATCCAAACACTACAATCAAACCCTACAATGCTTTCAAGAGATATATCACACAACTATCCATTTCACTATGCGAATGATGACAATTTCTTCTATGCACCAGGAGCCAAAGGCTGAAACTTCTTGGGAAGCTCCGTCACCAGAAGCTGGTTATTCCGGTTGAACACAACTCTATACAGATCCTCAGCCTTCCAATCAACAATACGAGGCTGCAAAACAATGAAACAAATTATCAAAAATCATGACACATTAAAAAGAAGAATACACAATCAGCCAAACACAGAAAAGTGAAAAGCTCAACTAGAACCCACATCATTATCTCGAATGTTCCCAACGATCTTTTCACCATGATAGGATCCAGCATACTTCAGAGTATAATGGCCACATTCATTCACCCCTTGAAGTGGAACCTTCACAAACGTTGGTTTCTTTGCAAAAATCTCCCATTTGGGCTGCTTGCTCGCATTGTACTGAGCATCACCATACACATCCTTCATTAGTTGGACCATCCCGGAGATCTGTAAAAAAGGAAAAGAAACCACACATTTTCAGGTCTAAGAAAAAGCAGAAACAAAGATGCAGAAAAATTAATCCAGTACAGATAATAAATGTCACTCACAATCTTCTTGCAGTCTTTATGATAGGTGTTCTTTGAAGGACGATGGTTCTTCGGATAAGGTAAAGAGTCAAGGATGTCGATGCTACTTCGGTACCGATTCATGACATATAAGGAAAAGTGGTTCACTTTCTTATCCTTCGGTAAAACCATGGGCTTGAATAGAGGCATCATGATCTAAAAATAGATGACCAAAAAAGAGATGTTAAATATTCAAAACAAAAACCAGCATGACAACAAACAAATAATCCAAAAATTAGCTAGTAGATCTCACAAGGTCGGCACTGAGCAAGTCTTCATTATCTTTAACATAGCTCTTGAAATCTCTCGCTGCACTCTTCACATTAAACTCTTTATTTTCATCAACGTAAAACGTACAGTCAAGCACAACCTGCAAAGAAAGCCAAAAAAGAAATAGACAGGGGAAAAGGATAAACAAAGCAAGGTATTTGAAAGTGTGTTATATCGACTAGAGGGGGGTGAATCGGTGATTTTTATGAAAGTCTTCAATACATGGAAGTTTTGAAGTCAAATGATAGAAATGAACATATTACCATGCAACAGAAGGTAGACTACATTAGGTATACCATAGTCAAGTATTCAATGAAGTGAAGCCACAATGACTAATAGCAGCTAGGCAGTAAGGATCAGGTACACAGTGAAGACAAATAGATAATGCAAATAGGCACTGACTTCACAAGAGCCAACTGTAAATAAAGAGATGGGAAGGATAGAACCAGTGTGCGTGATGAAGACAAAGGTTTGGTAGACCAGTTCCAACTGCGGTGACAGTTGAACGTCTGGTTAGGGTGGATAGGTATTTAAACCTGAGGACACTCAGTCCCAGACACTTAGTCCTGAACACGCAGCTCAGGACACTTAGTCCTCACAGTATTCCCCTTGAGCTAAGGTCACATAGACCTCGCCCAATCACTCTGGTAAGTCTTCAAGGTAGACATTCAAACCTTCACAGACTTCGTTCACCGGCGATCCACAATGACTCTTGGATGCTCAGAACGCGACGCCTAACTGGCTGGAGGATTCACAGTCCTCAAGTGTAATAAGTCTTCAGATCACACAGACAAGAAGACTTAAGTGATGCCTAACACTCTTTGGCTCTGGGTGGTTAGGGCTTTATCCTCTCAAGGAATTCTCTCTCAAAGGCTTCGAGGTGGGTTGCTCTCAAACAACAAAAGTCGTACTTTAACTCTGAGCAGCCAGCCGTTTATGGTTGTTGGGGGTGGGCTATTTATAGCCACTAGGCAACCCGACCTGATTTGTCCAAAATGACCCTGGGTCACTAAGGAACTGACACGTGTTCCAATGGTCAGATTTCAAACACACACGACAACTTTACTTGGGCTACAAGCAAAGCTGACTTGTCCAACTCTGAACAAGATTCGCTCTCATAGTCTTCACTCGAAGACATAGGATTTTGGTTAAGCATCACTTCAGTCATTCTGACTGGTTCTCTTGGACCCCACTTAACAGTACGGTGGTTCCTATGACTCAACAAAGAAGAAAAAGAACTACGAAAGATCTAAGTCTTCGCGCTCCATAGTCTTCATGCGGTGTCTTCTCTTGTCATAGTCTTCAATGTGAATGTCTTCACGTACCACCTTTGACTTCACTGTCTTCATACATTTTTAGGGGTCATCTCTGGTAGGAAAACCGAATCAATGAGGGACTTCTACCTGTGTTATCCTGCAATTCTCACAAACACATTAGTCCCTCAACTAGGTTTGTCGTCAATACTCCAAAACCAACTAGGGGTGGCACTAGATGCACTTACAATCTCCCCCTTTTTGGTGATTGATGACAAACTAGTTGAAGTTTTCAACGGGGAATATAATATGTGAAATTTGTAAAGGATAAGGAATTGTCTTCATAAGTTGCAAGGGCTCCCCCTGAAGATGTGCATATAAGTAATTTGCTTTTGGAATGCAAATGCACATGGCAGGTTGTACTTGTGGAAATCCTCTTCAACTTATGATGACAATCCATCATGCATGAAAAGTATGTGAAGAGAATGACATGCATAATGAAAAATGGACGTCTGCAAAATGATCTAAGTGCGGAATTTATCGTCGCACATGCGGAATTTATCATCGCATCACAAAATAGCAAATAAGTAGCAGACGACCATCGAGTTTAAGTGTTACAACTCAAAGAACCAAATGTATCAAAACGAGAGTTGTAAACACTAGGCAAAACATAAAGTAACCGCACATATGGACCTGCTTGAAGACTATCAAACTCATATGCTTCTCCCCCTTTTGTCAGTGAGGACCAAAAAGGTTTGAAGACATAGAGCATCTACTCGTTCCCGTGAAGAGTAGGTGAAGCAGCAAGGTCGTCGGTGGTGTTCGGCGGTGCAGAAGAACTTGGGGCAGTGTCAATGCGTGCAGAAGGAGGGGGCGGTGAAGTAGCATCGTCTTCGTCCTTGATTACTCTGGCATTCATAGTTGCCGCGGAAGAAGAGAACTCAGAGTCTTCAAGAGATGGAGTTCGTCGCAGCACAGTCCTTCTTGGAGGTGTGGAGTCAAACTTGAAACGTTCAGAGAAGCCATCCTCTTGAAGATCATCCTTAGAACACATAAGCATCAGCCCTTTCCATGTACGCCGACAGGTTTCATGGGCAACAAAGGCATTCTTGGTGGCAAGATTTCGAATGTGGTTGACATCCACCAAGAGGCTTGCATTTGGCGCTTCAGCCAGTCATGATGCCTATCCTGTTTCTGATGAAGAGCTACTAGAAGCTCTCGGTCATTGAGAACACGAGATCTCTTCTTGGGCCGTTGGGCAATGGTGCTTTCAGTGGCTTCAGTGAGGGCACGATGAGGTGCACGTGTAGTACCAGCCAGAGGATAAACACGA